TTTTTTTTTTTTTTTTGGGTACAAAAGAGTTTGTAGCATTTATTGCCTTCAATAAAATTCAGGATAATGTGGCATGCAATATGTCACCTTAATAAATTTACATGTTATTTTTTCACTTAAAGGGTAGAATTACTCAACCTGTCATAAAATGAGATTGGTAGAATAAAGAATTGAAGAAATTATTATTTTACATTCACTCCTTCCAGCCGCCGCATCTACCTAACAGTAAGCAACGGTCAAAACTATTGAGAGAAGTCAAGCTCCGAACTGATAAAAATGATGATACCAAATTACGATATTTGCGTCAAATGCCTAATTTTGTTATTCACATGTTACGAGTTTGGTGGATTGATCAACCAATTGATTTCTACAAGGCTGTCCATGACCAATTAGTGGTCAATGAAATTGTATTCTGGGTCCTGTTCGATGATGTAAATTAACGAGGAAATGCGCTATGAGCTACTAGAGTCGCCTATTTTGGAGTATTTTGGACTCCAGACAAATGGTATTGCCTGAATTTGTTATTAGCATTGCCTAGTCAAAAGGATCTTATTATTTACTGGTTTACAAATCTTGTAAAAGGAAACATATAATTCCTTAATCCTTGGTCAACCTATTTAAGTATTTGCATTTGTTTTAACATAATGATACTTGACCTATGTAAAAAAAAAAAAGGTGAAGAGATCAAGTAAATTCTCACCAAAGGGACTGAATATCTTGTTAAATGTTATAGAAGTATTTATAGAAGTATTCTCATGTTAAATGTACCATCCTCAAGATATTATCATAGCTTGAATATCTTTGCTTCATCCCTGAAAATAGATACATAAAACGCTTTGGGATGAAAGTAATCAGGCTTTATGTGAAAGTGAAAGATGCTTAGTTTCTCAACATTCTATTGTTTTGACAAGTTTATTGTGAAAATAATCTTGAAAATATAAAGAGATAGAGAAGACCGGTGGGGTTTTAAGTGGAAGTCATCAACAGGCAAATGAGAACAAAGGAAATAATAGCATATGCAAATTATGAATTCAACGGAAACACATTGCGTTGATTGGACAACACCATATGTCTTTATCACCAAGAGCTTTTCAATATTCCAAAAACAACAAGAAATTAAGGTTGTCTCAAAGACGGAGAAATATTCTTCAATGGAAAAGAAGGTGGCAGCACAAATTCTTGTGGGATTTTGTTGAAAAGCATCTTCTTAAATCATTCCAGTCTTGTGATTGTTAACACATCTCAAATTTTGTGGACTAATTCAAACAAGAATGGCATGAAAAACCTTTATTCTTCTTATCACGCCTACAAAATAAATATTGTATTTTAATACTATAATAAGCATATATTGGACGTTCTGTAGTATTGTGTCTACCTTTCATAGTATAATATCATTTTTGAAGCATTCTACCTTTAATTCAAAAGTCTTGATATACGCCGAGGGTTGAGATTAATAGTCACTTTGCTGTCCGGAATTGAATTGTAGATTTCAAGCTTCGTTAATTAATGGAGCTGGATGATCTTGAATAATTAAATATTCTCGAACCTATAATCATTTTATAGAATTGCAATGATTTGGATTTTTATCATTTTCATTTTGTTGGTTCTAGAATCATGCTTGAACTTAATGAACTGCAAATTGATTTATTTAATAATTTTTTTTAGTTAAAATAAATTTTATTAAATATCATGAGATACATAATACTAATCTTCACTAAGAGGGGAAAAACAACCTTATGAACAAACAGCCATATTAATAATGGTAAAATACGTCAAATTAGAGTCTTGTAGTCCTTTGGGGCAAAAAATAATCCAATGACCGAACCATTTGAATCTCTTAAATTCCTTCACATCGCCCAGATCCTGACTTACCTTTTAACCAATTTGTCGATATTAAATTTAAATTTGTTCACAAAAATACGAATCTAGGAGAGTACGTACTCCAATGTGGAGATCAGTTGAGGGTAGATTAGAATTTGCTTTCCATGGCTTAATCCAGCACCCCACATTGTCAATTCCACCGTTCCCTTCACTCACCTTAATACATAACAAACTATAATTGGATGTTGATCATTTTCATTTTGTTAGTTCTAGAATCACACATAATTTTAATAAATTACAAGTTTATTTATTTATTTTAAAATTATACATATCATGTTTCTAAACTGTATGTTCAAATCAAATATATATATATATGATCAATACAAGATTTTTCAAAAATATTTTGATTAGGAAATTAAGATAACAATTTTCTCAACTCCTGCTGTACATTATATATTATTCTGTTAATAAATAATGTATAAATAACTACATTTCATTTCCATTTTGCTTATGTTTTTGGTCAGAATTGGAGAGTACGTACCCATTCAAGATTATTGTGGCAGCAGCTTCCTTGATTTTGTAGATTGTTCAATCCCTTCCAACAATGGCGTCAAAAATGTCCTTTCAAACGCCCAGACATTGTCTTGCGGCGAGGGTCAAAACCATTCATTAAAAATGTCAACTGAAATTCATGGACCAAGAAAATCTCAACCATTATCCATGCACTATAAATAGCGCCCTTCCCTTGGGTAGATGCACCCACAACTTGTATCGAACCCGCTCCACACAAGAAAGGAAATTATTAAAAACAGCTTACTTACACCCAAATGGCTCCAAGTTTTGATGATGGC